AGCCATCTTGTGTCCTGCTCCCTCCAGGCATCCTGGATCCTCACCCTCACTCTGCTAAACTCACCTACCTCTCAGGTCTGTGTGCCTGTCCAGCACCTCCGAGAACCACTCTTACCTCGCTTAGCTTCTCCATACCCCACCCACCACATAGGTCTTCTAGACTACCAGGAATATGGAAACACTTGAGCCAAGACTTAGGAGAAAGGATGCACCATCCCAGAGCCACAGTGAGTTCATGTCAAAGGTTTTTTGACTTTTCTCTAAAATTTAAGTCACTTGGATATCTCCCTCTTACCTATCCCTCCAAGGGCAGAACACTCCATGGCAGGAAGCACCCATCCCAAATGTCTGTGAGGAAAACCCATAGGTAGATAAAGCCTCCCACGTCTCTCTCCCTCCCTGCTCTCAAGCCCCAAGATGGCATCTGGTTTTGACATCTCTATCTCCATTTTAATTTGCCCTCTTCAAATCCTTGTCTTCCTCTCCTCCCATTTATAATCCAAACCTTCCAGGTCAGAAGCCTGCTGAGAACCTCCCACCTATCTGGTCTCTTCTGATCCCCCTCAGCCTGAGCTGTGACTGCAAGAGGCCTCCGGTTGCTTACCCTATTCTTGACCTGCAGGTATGTAGAATTGCACTTAGCCTCCACCATAAGGTGAAAATTCTCCAAGGCCCAGGACCACATTCCCGCCTTTTCCCTCACAGCTCAGCAAAAGTAAAAGGCAGATACTGCTGGTCTATTCTAGGGGGTCACTGGAACACTTAAGTTAGCCAGGGACAGCACTCATTCCCATGTGTCCTGCCCACCAACATCTGATGGGTACTGGATGCATTGGCCGACATTTTGGTGTCCATGGAAGTCAGCCTGGAGGCATCTCATATGGTGAGCACACATCCTCATGGTGTTAGAGGTGCTGATCTGACCCAGGTCTAGATTTGCCAAGCAGCCATATGGATGCAAGCTTAGATGAGTACCTTCCTGGTCATACCCCATGGCTGCAGCCCAGCAGCGAGAAACAAATACGTATAACACAAAAGGGAGAACTGTCTGCACCCCGAGTTCCATCTTTCCATCTCTTGGACGGAGCACCTCATGGGTCATCCCAGCACGAACACCACTCCTAGCTAAGCTATACAGCTCTGCACCAGGTAGCTCAGGCTACCCACCTCCCAACACCTCAAGCTGGAGCTCTGCCAACACAGAGCTCCTCAGCTCAGACTTATCCATAGCCTGCCTTTGTACCATCAAAGCCAACAATCCGCTAGGACAGTATGAGTGGACAACTGGAGGGAAAAATTGTGGGGGAACAGCCAAGGCAGAGAGCAAAGGAGTAACTGAAAAAGCCTGGCTGTGTGTGTGGGATCAAAACAATGTGCCTGCTCAGTTAGTACAAGTGTTTTATTTGCTGATTTGAGATAGAGTCTCACATAGACCAGGATGGCTTTAATATAGCTCAGGATGACCTTGAGCTTATGAGCCTCCTGGTTCCACCTCTCAGGTGTTGGGATTATAGATATACACCAGTCTGCCTAGCTGAAAACTTAAAAAAAAATATTATGTGTTTGAATGTTTTGCCTGCATGTATATGTGTATCACAAGCATACAATGCCCATAGAGGCCAGAAGAGGGTGTTAGATCTACTAGAATTGGAGTTATAGATGGTTGTGAGATGCCATGTGGGTCTCAAAATTGAACCTCAGTCCTCTGGAAGCACTGAGCCATCTCTCCAGCCCCATGCCTGGCCTTTATTCAGTACACATTCACTGAATATCTACTCCATGCTGGGCACTGTGCTGGATCCTATGAAGGAAATAAGCTTGACCTCTGCTTCCCACAATCAAGATGCTCAGACCTATTGTTCACCATAATTACTCAGGGAGCTGTTGGAAAATGTTCCTCCCTTGGACTGCATCTTGGATGTCCTAAGAGCATCTCCTGGATATCTCTGTATTTTAAGAGCTCCCTGAGAGATGGATGCAGCTGATCTACAGAATGACATATGGCCATGACAGATAATTAAGTCATAACAGCAAAATGTGATGCATATTAGGAAAGGGAAGGGAGACACTGTGAGTTCTGGGAACATGGAGGAGGGATCTCATACACACACACACACACACACACACACACACACACACACACACACACACACACAAATACAGAAAAGTCAGAAATAGAAAGTGGATGGATAAGCCTCACAAATTCAAGGCTGGAGACGACTCTGGCATTATTTCATTCAGCCACAGCAATGTGAGGACTGAAGCCTGGAGAGAAGTTTGAGCCAGAGCTGAGTTGACAAGATGATGGGTAATCATCGGCAGGTGTATGAAGACATTGTTAGCTGCCAATAGCTCTCTAAAGATGGATGGTGGACATACAGAGGACAAAATGGATGAGATAATCAACAGATGGGTACATGGAGGTTATTGTTAGAAAGAAAAGCATCTAATTTGGAGAAAACATTTACCAATTTGGGGAGAGAGTTTAATGAGTGTAGACAGATGCAAGTTGCTAGATAAAAGACAGTTACATATGCGAGGCAGAGCACAGAGGCCTGACAGATGTAGGTATCATGTTAGAAACACATAGCAGGGAGCTGATTGGAGTAACAGATACTTGACAGGTAAGTTTGCATGTTGAATACTGAGAGATGGATGGCTAATTATACAGCATGTGTCCAAACAGTAAGTTTCAAGGACAACAGAAAGGTAGCTCTGACGATTGATATTGAATGTGGCAGGAAGAATGTTGGCCTAGGGGACACCTAGGCAAGGCCTTTATTATGCTACTAATTTGACATACTACTTTAAGCAAAGAGAATGGACCTGACAAGGAATAGGAATGGATGTTACTTGAGTTCATGTAAGATACCTCTAATTCTCAAATAACTTTTTCCAGAGGAAGAAACAGCTGAGAGAGGTTAAGCAACTTGCCCATTGCACACAGCAGGCAGCTAGGCATTCAAAGTCACATCTGCTAACTTGGGTACTCTGCTAGCCCATCTCTCCCCTCGGGGTCTTTACCTGGAACGACAAGGCTACAAGGAAGGTTCTTCTCAGCCCCCCAGGTAGTTCTGTGACGGGAGGGGGTGTTGTTCTGTAAGTAAAAAGAACTTCATTCCTGAAGAAACAGGATTAACTAAGAATCCTGATGGTTAGCAGGACTAGAAATTCCCTTTGGTTTTGTTCTAAATGTCTGTCTGAAACGTCCCATAATAAAAACGAACGCGGCAACCAGCCTGTGTGAACGGCATTGTTAGAAGGTAAAATTGACAGGAAGCTAGATTCAGTTTGGAAGAAAATTAAACATGCTCTCACTGTGCTAAAAAATGGAAAGTTTAAAAACAATGACACGATTTCAACAAGTGCTAATCTGTGGGTGGTAGAATTATAAACTGTTTTGTTTTCTTACATTTCTGCAATTAACATTTAATAAATATTACTTTTTACATGAAGTTAATTATAAACACCATTCTTAAGCTGACACCTTGTTTCAAACAATAATTGTAAAGCACTGTTTGCCAGGAGGGAAAAGAGGTGTTATTTTATTAGCTTATTTTTTAAACATTGCTTTCTTTAAAATAGTTTTTAAAATTAACTCTGTTGCTTTGTAAGATTTTTTTTTTTCAGTTAGAGCTGTCGACGAGCAACCCCTGAGAACCTACAGGTTCTCCAGTCCCGTGGTACCCTGGAAGGAGGTCCTGCTTCAGTTATTATAGGGGTTGCAGATATTGTCATCAAAATGCCAGGACCAGTGGGTGAGATCAGCATAGGGAGCCTGGGGTGCATCTAGGGCTCTGTCTGCCCCCATGTTACCCCAGAAGCTACTGGGAGGGCACAGCCGACACCCTCCCCCACCCCCAAGAGGGGTAGTTGAGGATTGTATAGCAGGGGGGGAAGGGGAGGAAAGAGCAGTGGAAGGTTCAGTACCAGCAGAGAAGGAGCTGAGCGTCTGGGAGCGGGCAGGGTCCGAAGGCCTAAACTGGAAAAGAGTCCAGTACACCAGCTGGGGTGAGAGTCCCTCAGCTGCTTCAGTCCTTGGACACAGGAGTGGACCAAGCATTTGATGGCACTTCCACCCGGTGTTCATACGTGGCGAGGTTCTTACAAAAATAAAAATAAAAACCCCACGCTTGCCTCCTTACCGTTCCCTAGACTTCTTTAATGTTTTTCCTTAAATAATAAATTACTAAACCCTACCTGGGAATTGTAATTACCCCCCCCATCCAAGCCCCCCAACACCAATGCAGTTCACTCCCTCTCCCACTCAGGGGCCCTGCATCCTTAGTCTACTGTCTCAGTTGCCAAGACACTTTCAGAGGCTTATGGCTTTACGGTGAACAGCGAACATGCCACGGTCCTCAGAGCCCTAGCTGATGATGGCCCGTGTGGGGATCAGGGTCACTCTCACACTCCAGTCAAGGAGCTGACCTCTACTGCCTCATTCCTTCTGTTGTGAAGCTGACACTGCCTTTCTTTGTCCACACACCACAGGTGCTGGAGGTCAGCTGAGGTCTCACCCGCTTTGCTTACTAACATCACGCAGGCAGGGCAGAGGAGTCCAATCACCACCCCTACCCCACCCCCGCCGTCCCCAAACACACGCGCAGACTTGTGGGTGCTGTGTCATTTAGACGAGAGACAGGCTAGAGCTCTTCGCGGCCTGGGCGCACTGCGGATCAAATTCCATCTACTACGCTTCTGGTGGGATCCTTAGCGCTGATTATAAGACCTGGGAAAGCTGGGCAAGTTGGCTTACGTATGTGATCCCAGCACGCAGGAGACAGAGAGAGGATTGCTGCGAGTCCCAGGCCAGCCTGGGCTACATAGTGAAACCCTGTCTCGTTACAAAACAACATTCCTGCAACTTATCAGGGCAAGCAGAGAAGGGTTTCGGGCGATGCGACGCTGCAGGTAGCTTGTGGAACCCGAGGGGTAGGGAGCCCTGCACCCAACCGCCCACCTCAGGCACCCTGAGGCTGCAGCAGGGGGATGCTTACCTGCGTCTCGGAGAGGCTGAGGCTGCCAGCCAGCTGCTTCCGCTCGGCGCCCACCACGTAGTGATTCTTTTCGAAGGCTCGCTCCAGCCGCAGCAGCTGCGAGGGTGAGAAGGCCGTGCGGATCCGCTTGGGCTTGCGTGCGAAGGGCCCGTGCAAAAGCAGCCCGTCCTGGGGAACGTCGCTCGCTGCAGCCCAGAGGCGATAGCAGCACGCGCAGGTACAGACAGAGAGAAGGGGCGCGGTGAGTCGCAGGCCTCTGCCGCGAACGCCCTGCCACTTCTGCAATCCTGACACGTCCTCCACTTCTCCCTTTTCCCTTGCCGCTGCCCTGAAACCACACTCCAGCGCTACCCGCAGGGGACGACAAGCAGAATCAACTCTTCAGCCAAGAGGCGAGTCCAGGCCTGATGAAGGCCCTACTGGCCCAAATTCAGCGTTGCCAGGGGAAGCAGAAAGGCCAAGGGATGACAGAAGTCCCTTAGGTCTCTTCCTGTGCCCTGAAACTCTACCTCCACCCGGACCCCAAAGACTGATTAACTTTTAATTATCTAGTCCCGAAGTGTCCTCTTCCTAGACCAACTATAGAGAGGACAGGGCTGGGGGTCAGAAAGGCAGCGAGGGAAGAGCAAGGCTGATAGGTAGATAACTGGAAGTCATCCAAAGACCTTAAGACGTGCTTAAAGTACTCCTACAGCTAAGTGCTCAGGCTACTACTAGCCTGCTGAAATGTCCTGCTCGCAGGACTAGGCTCCACCACGCAGGAGGTAAAAGCAAGCCAGGTCCAGCAAGCAGACAGACCCTGGAGTTCTCAAATCTACTTCTTTCTGCCTCTCCCTTCTTTCCTCCGGCCTTAAAACACTGTGAAGGCAGGCTCCTAACCGAAGGCTGGAAGAATAGAAGCTGTTCTCATGGGAAAGGCTCCTGCTTGCTCCCTGAGTAGTCCTGAGCTGAAAGAATATGGAAGTAAATATCTGGAAGCTGTCCTCCCAATATATAAATAAATATATATGTATGTATGTATTACAGATATATTCATTTCCCTATGGCTGTGTGTAAATATACACTCCAGCTTCCCATCGTCTTTTCCTCCCATTACTGTACAAGATTTCAGAGTGTGACTGTCCCTTGGCAAAGCTCCCACACTCTGCTCCTACACTGAAAAGGACTGAGTAAGGCTGGGGTGGTGGTCAGGAAGTATAAAAGCCAGAGCAGGCTCCTACCCACAGCTCCAGCTTGGTGACCCGCCCCCCACTGGGCCCTCACACAGTTTCACATTCTCAGGGACTCAAAAAAGCTCTGAGACCCAGCATGCACTGGTTCTCACACAGTGGCCTGTATCAGTTCCCCTGACCCAACAACACAGAGTCCTAGATGGGATGTTTTGACAGATTTAGCTGTTGAGATTGACTGATCCAATTAATTTCTTCAGAGATGGCTACTAGGTCGACTCAATTGGACCTACTGCTTTGCTCTTAAGACAGTAATCTGGACAATTCAGACGCGACCTCCCCTTTCTGGAAAAGCTATGTAAGTGAATCAGTCACGTCATGAGGTGCCCTTGTTAAAATTTATCTGGGAGACTAACTGTATCCGATCTACCGGTTGACTATTCCCAGGCTTTGGAGGCCTACGCCAGTCACCTGGGTTGCTGGGATCTTGTTTGGAACACAGTTGTCTGGGATTGGCCTCCTGTCACCTGCCCATTTCAAGTGGTTGGGTCTGCATTACTATACAACAAACAGGATGAGGGGATGTCACTGAGGAGTGAAGGATGGACATCTGCCCCCTAAGCCATTGGCGATAAAGGCAGACCTAGGATCCTCAGGCCTGATTGAAGAAGGAGGAGTTTCAGTTGGGTAGAAGAAGGACAGTTAGAGGAGATGTCTCCCAGAGAGAGTAAGGGGGGGGGGGGGATGAAAAGCCTATTTTTGGAGTGAATAAGAAGACTCGAAGTCTTGGGTGAGGACCAGTCTGGAAGTCCAGGGAAAGGCGAGAGATGTGGATGGGAAGCCTTTATTGAATGAATTGCTTCAAAAGCCCACATTATTCAGAGTCCAGGTAAAGCCCCAACTGGGGTTCCCTGTGGACAAATGATCCAGAGTGGGGTCTGCGGGGAGAGCCTGTCTATCTCAGCATTCCGAGGGTTGGTATCCGTTGCTGTCTGGTCTAACCTATAACTCCATGCTGTAAAGTTGCATGGAAAGAGCACACAGGTCTGAGTAAGTGGGACGAAGAGGTGTGCAGGGAAGTGTGGAACTGAGATGGAGCTCTGCTGCTGTGTTCTTTACGGGCTAGAGTGAGGAGCCGGGGAGTGTATCAGTCACCTGAGTGGTGGAGGAGAGTGCTCCCTGTCTTTTTAAACCCCACAGGGTGAGGCCTGTCCTGACCAAAGGCTTCTTTGCCTCCAGTCCTCAGGTCTTGCTTGGCTCAGGGAAACTGAATGTCCTGTTGTAGTGGTTAGCATGCACCCCAGTATGTGTCCATATACATGGGCTGAACCGTAGTCTTCCTGACCCAACTATGAAAGCAGCAGGAGGCTATAAAATTATCCAAAATATTGATAAACGATGACAAGCTATTTGATTAAAAAACCCAAAGCTTTTTCCAGTGAGAAAGATGTTTAGCACTAAACTAAACACCCGATGATATTAACCAATAGCTACATGTTTCTGTAAAGACAAGGGTGGCAGGTGTCTGTGTACCTGGCAGCTTCGTTCTTTGACCTGTGAGAAAGGGTCCACCCCTCCCTACCACTTCCAGGGGAGCCTACACAGTTCTTGACTGGGCCACAGGACCGAACAAGCTTGACTGGGATGCAGCCTGTTTGGACTCAGCGATTTCAGGCTGTGAGAGAGGGTGTCAGTTTCAGACACCCATAGGAGAGGAACATGAACCCATCTTTCCCTGGAATTAGGAGTTAAGATGTGAAAATCCCCACATCTCTCTGCAGGCCTCTGCAAGGTGATGGCTGGGAGCTAGCAATGGAGATTCTAAGAAGCAAGCTGCGGGAGGCAGCGGGAGCAAGAATCCGAAGCGCCTTCCGCTGGAGCTCCAGTCCTAGATGGAGAGGCCGCTTTAGCTAAAGGCTTGGAGCCCCGCACCCCGGGCGGAATGGCCTAGAGCTAGAAACGGGAGAGGTTGATGGTAAAGTGAAGATAACCTCTTCCCTCCTCCTCCTGCTTGAACAAAGGCGCCTTTGGAAGCTAGTACCCACAACCGCAGCGGGTTGGGAGGGCTGGGTCTCTCTTAGTCCCCTTCAGATGCAGCTCTCCAGTCCAGAAAGTTCCTGATCTCTGGGAAATGTCACCAAAACGACGCCAACCTCGCTCTACCTTCGCGGGTTCCTCCCGTTTGGCCCCCAGCTCTGAGGTCCTGACCGAGCGCCCGGACTTCTCCTCTTTGCTTAGGGGAGAAGCGGCTTCCAGGAGCCACCGGCTCGCGTTGCCCGAAAGCGCTGCGCACAGAACACGGACACGGTTCCTTTTCGTTCTGGTAGGGTTTCGTTTCTTGCATCAAAACGGGACTGAAATGAGCATCGTGGAGACCCGGTTCTCTAGAAAACGCGGCGCCGGAGGGCCTGGGACGGCTCGGTTTTTAGCCCCGAGGCCCGGCGGGATCTGGAGGAGGCAGCGTCTTGGGGACGCAGGCTTCAGGGCCGCCGCGTCTCGGAGTTGAAAGGGTCGGTCAGCGCCCATCAGACTTGCGAGTTCGCAAGCGCAGCCACACTGGAATCCTTCTCCGCGTCGAGACGCGGTTCTGGAGAGAAAAAGCCCACCGTTTGTGCAACTCCACATCGTATCAGCTAGGACCGATGGCTCAGAGAGCAGCGGAAATTTCCGAGAGGGTTTTGCGGAGAATGTGTTGGCTGAGGATCTCCGAGCCCAAAAGCTGCATCTCTCAAAAGGCGCCACCAGCCCGGGTTGAGCGGGATCAGCGCTTGAGGCCAGAGGTGCGAAAGGTGGAGAGAAGGACCTGAGACTCCGGACTAAGGGCGGGAAAGTCCCATCCAGGAGGCATCTTGAGTATGTTGAGCCTCTTGAGTATTCCTAGCCTCAGCTAGGCTAGGAACCGGCAGCACCCTCTCCTCCAGGGCCCCTGATCCTTCACCAGCCCAGGTCCCTTCAACCGTGGGCTCACAATCTTTAAGGCTCAAAACTCCGACAGCGGGCATGAAGCTGAAGATAGAGCCCACCCGGGGATGAGAGTAATTAACTAAATCTGAATAAAACCTCATTTTAGTAGTAAGCACTGATGTTAAGTGGTGGGAAATGTTAGCTAAAGCAGCTAATACAGCAGGCGTTTTCCTTCCCGCCTGGGAAAATCTTTGAGGAGAAAAATCTGCCCACCTAAATGCTTGCTGAAGTTATCACGTTATTAGATGAACGGGATTTTCTCGGTTAGTACGTGGTGGCCAGGTGAGACTGGGGTCATTGTCTGACAAACCAAGGCCCTCTCCAAATAGCTTTTTCCGAGGCAGTCAAGCAACTATAGTTAAAGCTTCAAAATTCTTTTTATTATATAAATAATTGTATCAAATATCAGATTCACCTTGGCCTGGCCACGTAGCCTTGGCTTGCTGTCAAAGTAGTTCCTGGAGTCAAAGTGCCAACCTTGTCTTCTTTTTGCTGCTGTTTCACGAAACCCTGAATTTACCCACGGAAACTCAGAAGCCTGAGCTCCAGTCTATACCAAAATGGGAACTAAAGCAATTGCTTTAGGTATCAAGGCCAATCTTTTTTTTCTTTCTTAATGAAAATAAAAACTACAAATCCAAGGAAGAAAATGGACTGCAATAAACACAACTCTCTTTTCTTTAAGAAAGTCAGATAACTGGCAGTGTGTGTGTGTGTGTGTGTGTGTGTGTGTGTGTGTAAGGCGTTTGGAGGGGTCTTAATTAACAAACCAATTGCGGTTGCAGACCCAGGCGGACTAAGACTAGCTATGACCTTAAAAGCCCTCTTCCCCCGGCCCCCACTCCAGAAGACGGTCCTGAGCGTCTAGCAGCCCGTGGGCTCCCTGAGGAGGTCAGTGGTGAAGAAAGCCGATTTGCTTACTGCAAGCCTTCCCCATTTTAGGTGACTTGGAGAAGTGTGGCCAAGGTTGCTGAGAAATGTCCCAAGACAGCAGAGTGAACACACCACACTGCCCTGCTTCCCACAGAACCAGGGCGCGCATGTGGACTTTCTCCTACCCCGATGCGCCAAGAGTTGTGATGACCACGAGAGCGAAGTACGTTCACAGCTCAAAGCTCTGGCGCGGGAAGGGCGGAGGGCCCCGCACTTTCAGGGATGGGACCAGTTTGGTCATAAAGGAAACTAAGGTTGGCCAAAGGAGGGTCAGAAAAAAGCTATTAGGATGCTCCTAGGCTTGTGTCCTAACCAGCCTCATTTTTTTTTTTTTTTTGAAAGCGTGGAGGTCCCAACCTCACTTCCCGGGTGGGAGACCAGCACAAACAGACCACAAGCTAATCGCCTGCGCACAGCCAAGGCTGATCCCCGAGCCTTGTCCGCAACAACTTCTGAACAGCCCCGCCGTGACACCGAGCCTCTCCCGGGTCCCCGTGTCACGGACACGGCGTGGACACTCACCCTGGAAGCGGTGGCCGAAGAAGCGATTCCGAAGCACCCAGGGGTAGAAGTGGAGAGGGTCCCGATGCTGGGCGCCGAAGAAAGAGTGAGGGGGTTGCAGCGAGGAGGCGCCCAGCTGGTGCGCCGGGTGCACTGTCAGCGCCGGGTGGTTCATGGCCTCGGGGAACACAAGCTCGGGCCCTCCGTAGAGCGAGCGACCGGCGCCCGCGGCGGCAGCGGCCGGAAAGCCACTCACAAAAGCCGCCTCGGCCGCACTGGGGTGAGGGTAGTTGAGTGCCGTGGGCCTGAGGGGTTCCTCTGAGGCTGCCACTGCCAGCGGATGGGAGCCCGCGCCCCCACTGCCAGGGCTCCCGCCCGTGCCACCACCATCCTTGGCCACCAAGGATTCTATGGTGAAACCCCGCTTGGCCGCAGGCTGGAACATGATCGCGGCCGCCGAAGCCGAGCGAGGTAGCGGGGCTCTGGGAAGCGCTCGGTTCCCTGGAGCTGCCGCCCTGCGGGGTGTGCACGGAGCCAAGCACATGCACTCACGCCCGCACTCCTCACCTCCCCCGCCCGCCCGCCCGCCCGCGCTCGGCCCTTGCGGGCGAGCCTGGCGCGGAGCGGCGAGGGGCGTGCGAGAGTCCTAGCACCGAGTTGAGCCACTGCGCACGGCCAGGAGCGTGGTACCCGCGGCCCAGTGGGCAGCTCTCGGCAACCGCCCAGGCTCGGGCTGCGTGTGCTACTGTGAGTCGCTTCTGCGGTCCTCCCGGCTCTCTCCTTTACAAGTCACGCCGCGACCGACCCCCGCCCGCGATCCTCCTAGCACTGCCCGGCTGGGCCTCCGCTGCTGCTGTGCTTGGAGAGAGTTAGCGGGCACCTGCCCCGCGCTCGCCCATTGGCCGCCGCTCACCTGCCCCAAGGTGGGGGGCGGGGCGGGGCGGGGCGATGGATGGCGGGTGGGGGTGCGGTCCCCAGTCGGAGGCAAAAACCGGACTGGAACATTGGCACTCGATCTAGTGTCTCCCCTCCCCACCCCACCCCGCTTTGCATCTTGATTTTCTGACTCGGCCCTTTAGCTGCCAAGGCAGACTGGTCTGAAGGGGACATCTGCAGAACTGGGTTCGAGGAAAAAAACATCAACCCTTCCAGAGTGAAACGCAGTTGAACCCACTCCCTTCGTCCTGGGACATCGTTTCATTTCTTAGGGAACTTGGATCCCAGCGTAAGATGGGTGTTTGGGGTCCAGCCTAGATACTCCGGAGAACCTGCTCCGCGTTCGCCTAACCTAAGGGAGCCCTCCCGCTGCTCGCCCACTACTGGCCTCAGGAGCAGTATTGTGAAGCTGTGGTCATGTTCTTGAAATTTCGCGTTTTCTGGATATTTCGGGGTACAGCGCTTCAAACGGGACGTGCATTCTTTTCACCAGGGGCCAGGTTCGCAGGGTCCGGAAAGAAGCCGCAAGAACCCATCGCTCCGCAGCTCTCCCGCAGCAGTTCGCGATGCTCCATCCAATGCAGAGGTTTTACCATGGCCCCCGTGCGGCCACTGTCTCGCACCGGACCGCGGTCCTCAAGCGCAGTGCGATCTCGGGCTCCAGTATTTCATGACCAGGCCAAAAGGGGTCTTTGGGTCACTGTTTCCTAAATTGGTGCTGGCTTTGTTGCTCTCCTGCCTCTCAAAAGGACAGGCCAGCGGTCATTTGGTAACAGTGGCAACCTGGCCTCTTAGACATTCCTCTTCCACCTGCGACCGCGGGGCAGTGCGCCAATCTTCTTAGGCTACTTTCCATTGCATGCACTAAGCCCGAAGAGCGAGAGGGCAGTTGACTATTAGCACCTGTATTCTGTAAACTTCCCACCCCAGCCTTCTAGGATGCTGTGGCCTAAGAGGGCTTTGGTTTAGGAGGTCCGGACCTAGCACTTGCTCACGCACGGCTGGGAGGAGGTCAAAGAGAATTCTGCTTTCTTGTCGCTGTCCGCGGGGGTCCTACCGGCCCGAGCACGGCCCGAGGGCTCACATCCGAGCTGAGCCTCCCGAGACCCCAAGGGCAGTGGGGTCTACACACTCTACAACTCTGCGGGGACTCCAGGCCAGGTCTTGGTAGCGGCCCGCCGGAATGCCGGGAGCCTTGGTCCGGTCGAGCGCTCCGGGCGCCCTTGCAGCTACAAAGCGGGTTAAAGTCTATTTTCCACTCGACTGCTCCGAAAAGCCCCCGCAAGCCGGTGCCATTCCGGCCCCCTTGGGCGAGTTGGGGAGGAGGTGGCGAGAGGAGGCTGAAAGGGGACTTCACCGTGCAGCCCCTTCGCGTCCTAGACGACCCAGGGCCGGACATTCGGTCTTCCCTGGGGACCCACTCGTTACCCGATTTGCGCCGAGCGCCCAGTCTCTCACTGGCTTCTCCTGATCTCTGCCGCTTCCGGTGATGCTTTTCCCCCATCGCGTTCCTGTCTCGGCCTGTCCCCTTTCACCTCCGGCTTCTCTGTCCACACAACGCCTAATTCCTCCCCTTTTTCCTTTGCCACGTCCTGCGTCAAGGGACGTGCCTGGCTGGTGGGGGTTTGACCACTAAAATGGCAGAGGTGAGGATTTGGAAGATGGTCTTGTTGGAGCAAGGCCTGGACAGAGACGCAGGTTCCAGTGAATAAAATTGTCTAGGCCTATGCTCTGGGGCGACAACCAAGTACTAGGCTCTCTATGAAGAAGACAGAACCCGCACCCTTGCAGGTCTCTGGGAGCTGAATCCTATCGGCCCATCCTTAGGCTCCCCATCTTCTACCTGCACGTAGCCTGGGCAGTAGCTAAGAACTCGTTAAAGGAGGCAAATCAGGTCGGAAAGCTGGGACTCTCTTCAACATTCCAGTCTTGTATCTAAAGTACCTGTTCTGGTTCCTGACTACTCCGAAGTCACAGACTTTCTAGACAACAGCTTTCCTTGCAGTGCTTTTGAAATTCTTTGGCACCCAGTTGTCATTAAAACAAAACAAATAAAACCTTCTACAGATGATGAAGTAGAGTACAGAGGAGCTTGACCTGAGTCTGGTTACAGTCTGGGTGGAGTTGGAACTGTCCAGTGGTGCTGGCCCACGCCAGGTTCCACCTTTAATCTGGTCTCTGGGGCTATGGGCTGCCCAGACTCACATCCCTGGGATGAGATGCTGGCTTGCTCTGGCCAGAGTCTTTTCCTCACCCTTCCTCCCTCTTCCTCTCCTGTAATTCCCCAGTTCCCTCCGGTCAGTATGCAGGCATTAATCCCCTGCCTGTTTCCCTGTGTCTGGTCCCCTCGGGGCCTCGTCTTTCTAGCTACTCCCCTGCAGCAATTGGAGAGGTCCCTAAGGCTTGCATCTCTTTCTGAATTTTGCATCACTGTTCTGACTTTCACCCAGCTCTCTCTTTCTGCCCTCTGCCCTGCTCTGCCCTCCCTCCACAGCTTGCAAACCTCTCCTTCTGCCACCTGTCCTTACAAACACACCGCTTCCTTTCCCCTTCAGACTGCTGCCCACTTTACCCACCTGGCTCTTCCTGCTCATCCAAACTGATGAGCTCTGCAGAAAATGGAGGGCCATCACACACACACACACACACACACACACACACACACACACACACACAC